TTTTTTTTTTTTTTTTTTGTTAAAAAAAAAGATAACGGTTAATCTAAGAAAAGAATAAAAGAGATATTAAATAACAATGGAGAAATACGGAACAACACCAAATTATCATGTTAAAAAAGTTGATCATTTTGGATTTTCAGGAACTAATGCTGCGAATGGAACTGGTGCATACAAACAAAAGAGTTATTGTACTATTGTTGGGGGTGTTTCAGGTTGGGATCCTAGTTGCAGACCACAAGGCAAGAAACAAAAATTAACATTATACCATTATTATAATGGAGGTATGTCATTTTATGTTCCAATAGGTGATGAACCAATTTTCCCACAAAATTATTGTAAAGTAGCAATAATTAATGGATTTTTTGATAATATCCTTAAACTTACTGAAGACGTTGAAGGAAAATGGAGTACTTCTTCTTCTGTAGAAAAATTATTCACTTGGGTTCATGCAAAAGAAACTAAAACTGGATATCGTGGAACACTTGTTGGTGATGTTGTAGTTGAAGAAGATGGATTTACGTGGAGGTTAATGGACAATGGGTGGTACTTCATTGGGAAATATCCAGGGTATGCACTTTAAGTTCAATTTGTGATTACACAACACAAAATTCAATTCTTTTGAAAGAAGTTATGTTATTTATTTTAATATTCAAATCAAAATAATTCGTTTCAAGTTTTTTTTTGAACGAACTAAAATTTTGGTTGTTGTAAAACTATAATAAAAAACTACAAAAATATTATTGTAATAACAATAATAACTTATAGAAATAATCCCAAAAAAAAAGAAGATGTTTTATGCAAAATGATTGAAAAGTTTTACTTTTTTTCTTTTTCTTTACTTTTTATTTTTAAAACTCAGAAACACGAGATTAACAGATGTCAAAGGTATATCACACAGATGGTAAAACTATAACAATAAATACTGATTATTGTATTGGTTGTGGGGCATGTGTAGATATTTGTCCTACTGGTGTACTTGATGTAGTTGATAGAAAGAGTATGGCTGTTAACATTGACAATTGTTGTAAATGCAGGGAATGTACAGGAGTGTGCCCAGTTGATGCAATAACTATAGACTAATGGAGAAAAAGTCTTTTTCTTTTTTGTTCCATTTTCATAGAAACCAATTTGATTTTGTTTTACTTTTTGGTTTATTTTTTGAAAATAAAGAAAAGGATGAGATGTTGGTTCATATTTTATTGGTACAGTCATGTTAGTTTTCTAGTTTTTTAACTCTTTCAACGATGGTTGTTTTATTTCTTTATATTCTTTAATAACAAAAAAAAAATTAAGAACTAAATTTATATTTCTGTTTTTCAATGACGGATATACAACAACTTATGTCTTGTGAAAAATTCCTTAATGATTTAATTGGTAAACTTGTTTCTATTAAGTTAAAATGGGGGATGGAATATAAGGGTATGCTTGTTTCAAGAGATGCTTATATGAACTTTTTATTAACAAATGCAGAAGAGTGGACAAATGGAGTTATGGCTGGGAAGGTTGGAGATGTGTTAATACGGTTTGTTTTTTTTTTATTATTTTTGAATAACAATTATTAGCGTATAATGAATTAACTAAATAGATGTAATAACGTTTTATATGTTCGTGACTTAAGTGATGAAAAATTATGAATAAATAAAAACCGTTACAAATTAATTAATCCCACCTAATGGTGGAGAAAGACTTTTAATTGATATTTTACCACCAGTGTGTTTCTTTTTAGTTAATAACTCTTTCTTTAAATCGGAGAATTGACCTTCATTAGATGTTTTAAATGTAACTATCTCTCTTAATGGTTTAGCAAATATTTTTACAGTAAAGATTTTCTTAGGGACCTTATCTTCAAATTCATATGAATGACAATTAACAAAATCTTCATCTATAGTATCAATAATTACAAAATCATCTTTTAATAATTTTACTGAACCTTTTGAATATGACTCATTACAAATACCATATAATTGTCCTTCTTCTATCATTAATATGTTTGACCCTTTAGTTGATCCTTTCTTTTTGTTTAATTCAACTAACATTGTTCCATCATATCGTTCCTCTTCTACAGTTATAAAAGTCCCTCGTTCAACCATCTCTTTGTTTAATTCAAATGGACAAATAACAATACCCATTCTATCTGTATTAGTAACTACTTCATTTACAATTTGAACCATTTGATTTAATTGGTCAAGGACATAAAAAGGTAATATTCCTTTTTTACCATCAGCCCTAAAACAAATAGCCCATGTTTTTATAAATCGTTCAACAAATAAAATTTGACCTGGTTTAACTGTTAATTGAAACATTGATTGTTTTGTATATTCTTGATTTACTTTAAAGTATTTACAGACTTTTTGTTCATAATATTTTTTCTCATAATTTAAATAAGCAGCAGGAACATAACCAAATGATTTTTGTTTATAAACCAACCACCAATTACTTTGTGGACATTGAACAATCATAACTTCTTCATCTTTTTCTAAACTTAATGTTTTTGAATCACAACTTTTAAATGGATATAATACTTTAGCATTACAAGGCAATTCTCTTGGAACAGTAACTAATAAATAAATTTCTTTTTCAATTCTTATTATTTGTTATACATCTAATTTTAAACAAACTTAATTTCTCTTTTGAAGTATATCTGGCAGTTGTATTTTCTTTAATTATTTTTACTCTATTTCTTGGAATATATCCACTTTCATTTTGTTTATTAAATACTAATAACCATCCCCCTTCAATATTGTCTTCAGTGCAATCAAGTATTTCTCCTTCTTCTATTGACAAACATTCTATATCATCTGATGAAAATTTAAATAATGCTTGTACCCTAGACATAAATATATTAACTATGTTTGCTTATATTATAAATAAACCAAACTTATATAACACCTTTGTTTTAGTAAAAGAATCCAATACAAATTTTGACTTATCAAACACGCTCACCCTATATTAAATAAGTTTGAAATTATTTATTTCAGACTTTGATTATCAAACTTTCCATGTAATCTTCCTCTTATTTTTTCTCGAGGTAACATCGTAATAAATTCAATAATATCACCTTTTTTATATGACAATTTTGACAATGTATTTGATTGAAAAGAATCAATAGCCTTCAAATAAACAGTTGACTCACTCATGTCTGAACTACTTACTATTCTTTTCAGTTTTATTCAATAATCCTAAAAAAAGAATGAACTTCAAAACATATTTTTTTCTCTTTCAGTAGTAAAAAATCATATTCTAGAATTTTTAAAATAACTCATTTAGTGTTATTGCATTACTTCTTTTTTCATTTAATAATTCAAAATTATCAAAATATTTTTTATGAATTTTTTGTTAAATTTAATTTCTTTACTCATTTATAATTTTTAATATTAAACTCATCCTACTACTTTTGATACATCAATAAAAATCAATTAATTAAGTATCAATACAAATGGTTTCTATTTGTTCTTTATTCATTGAAGACTAGTTAATCAAATTGTCTTCTTCTTGTAGCTCTACGGAGTATGT